GTCGGTCTACTCAAAAGTGTTTTCGGTCGTTTTGAACAATCTTTATTCCCACGGCTGCTTTCAGCATACATCCGGCAGCATGTTTAGTATGCCATCGAAATCCATGGTTACGTGATCGTTAGATTTTGGAGCGTCCACAAAGGCTCGCCAAGAAGATGGTCACAAGACTCTATTATGATTCATACATGGGGAGACTACAGTCATTGGCTCCATACTCCGCTCAGTATCGTCGGATTCGAGGAGACTTAATTTAAGTGCACCAAACATTACACAACCCAAACCACCCTGGTCGATTACTTTTGATGTTGTCATCAAACGTTCATCTACGGGGACATCCATTCAAGTTACTACTCCAAAAATCGAGACCGGACTGTCGACGTCATTACTTCGCCGTCAGAGTGTGCGCTGTCTGGAATTCCTTACTATCTCATGTCGTTTGTGCCAAGACGATTGATTCTTTCAAGGTAAAACTTAACGAATCATTAACACACATTACATTCCAACATCCATGAGCACACAGAACAAAATCGAATACAGCATGTGGAATTTCATTCATCATTGTTACAGTTTGATTCGTGTAAACACCCTATGGGACAAGAAAAGAATCTACATGTAAGTAACGCCCCGAGTTTGATGACGTTGATGTGGCTCTCAGTGAGAGCTGATGCCGCTTTTCTAGATTGAATCCCAGTCGACAGTAGGCCGTGCACAATGGGACTCAACTTCGTGTAGAGTAAGCAGTCATCTCCTAAACAGGCAACTCGTTTGTCGTGTCGGCGTACGCTCCAATGAAATGCGGACCAGATGCAAAGATGAATTTTACCGAAAACTACACGACCTTTTGTGTAAAGCGAACCGAGCTGATGTCGTGATTTGCGCAGGATATGAATGCTCGTGTTTATTCACGACTGACAGTAGCCTGTGGTTGCACTCACTCTCTGTGGCGATTTACTGAAAGTGATTCATACTTTTAAGTAGCACGGGACCCTGATCACAGCTGGTAGTGCTGGTATTGGGGAGATCACATCACGAATAGCGAGAACAGTTTTTTCCAACCTGTGACACCTGTGGCGCCGTCATGACATTTGATTGTCCCTTAAGGGAAGGATGTAAATCGCCGCAGTTCGTAGTGTTCTACCTTCCGATCGCGAGACCTGGCCTATCCGAGCGGAAGATGCTAATCGACTTTCTGTATTCGAACACCGATGTCTCCAAAACATTTCTTGTGTCTAGTGAGAACATTGAATGAGCAATGACGAGGCTCGTCGTTGTGTGTGTGGATAGACGCTCTCTAAGGGCAGTAATCGCTCTACACCGCCTCTGATGGCTTGGCCACATTTTGCATATACCTGTCCATCAGCTAACTTTCCGCGCTCTATTTTCCCGTGTTGGGCAAGGTTAGAAGAAACGTCGCGGCGGTCAGACCATGAAATGGTGTACAGATATGAAGAAGCTCGCTTCATGTTTGGTTTCAGTTGGTGCAGCCGGCCTGCCAGGTTGGAGCCCAAGGGATCAAGATTGTCGTTGATCAGAGACATTGAGATGAANGAGATGAATGGCCCAGAACATAAGTTGGCGGCACGGGTGCTGTACGGACTGCCAGTTGAAACCCCGTGTCCCAAAATAAAAACAATAAACATAAAAACAAAAAAAAATCAAAACTGTACTATGAAAGATACAAAAATTGTTATTCTCGTTATTCACTTCAACCGGTTGACTCCCTTTCACTTTACTTTCTGTGGTGATGGTGGTGGCGCAGTGGTTTAGTAGCTGTCACCGGCGTGCTTTGGAACCTATGATCCGAGGTTTGAGCCCCGCCACCACCACCCAACTTTGGTGGTAGACAGCTATGCTTTCATAAGGTTCGATGTCATGCCTATCTTAATGGGGCCTTAAGTGGTTCGCCACTCGATGTTCCGGGTTTGGGTTACCGATTTCCATCGGTGAACGGTAGGCCCTCGTGACTACAGGCTTTCCTTGTCTTCTGTTCATCACACTTAAGTACATAATAAAAAAACCCAATATTGTTATTTTTGTGGTTGGCATCAAGTTTGCTCGCAAGCCGGTGAGGAATATGCTGTCAGCTGGCTCAGTATCACGCCTATTTTATGAGAATTCCACTCTCTACTCCAGACTATACAGTTTGGTTAACCGTTACTACGGTGCCCGTCCGCTTCTATTCTGCATCGTAATGTGATGCGCTTCACATTAGGAAAAATTCACTCCGTTATTTGCGACGTTCCGTCCTTGCAAAAAATCGGGTATTACCTGCAGAATGCAACGTGCCTCCCCCCCCCCACACACACAGCACTTAACGTACAATGAGAATGAACTGCAAATGGGCACCTGGGATCGAAATCGTGAACGCATGATTATGAATGAATGACCAGCTTTAGAGGTACTCAGAAAACCGATTGAATTCCATCTAAATGATCCCGCAACAGTGATTAAAATCGATTTGTGAAACGAGCACCATTGCTGGTTTTCACAATACAATTGGCATATGGTTGTTTCCGGGGCAAAAATAATGGTGAACCGAACCGTACAAGGTAGATAAATCAATTTCCAAAAATATAATTAAAACACCTCTCCTGTTTCAGGTATCACTGTATACGTCCTTGATTGGTGAATACCTGAACAGTCATTCTTCTAAGGAATGAAAAATCTTCTCACGCATTTTGTTTCTAAAAGTCAATTTGCTCCAGTTGCTCTATCAGCGAAGCTACTGCAATTAGAACGCCACTAGATATCGAGGCTTGTCACCAACGTCTCACCAGAATGTTGCCCCCGCATCCTCGTCCATATCACTGGTTCCTCAGTGGATTTCATGATTAATAAGGGTGAAGAATCTATGAATGTATTTTGTGTTCTTATGAGGGGACTGCATTTCAAAAATTCTAGATGGTGAACTTATGTACCCCTGTTTGGCAGGCGGACAAGACTTGCTCACCTGTGGCACAATTTTTACCAGCCGAGTGTCTTGAAAATGATCCTCAGCGGTCACGCGTTTATTGGTCACAATTCGAAACCAGTTTATCACATGATTGGATGCTGAGTACGCAACCGCGTGATCGTGCGACCAATCCGACCAAGCCTGTTGTCGAATCAAGTTTTGATCTGTGTTGTCACCAACTTGCGCCGCATTCACAACTTGTTCTTCACGATTTTCCACCGATAGCTGTACATTAAATCGGGGCCACGTGGACCGCAAGAATTCCGGACCGGCTAAATAAGACCAAGTTAAACTCACACCGGGTGGAAGATCAATGTCCACATGCCATAGCTTTGACAGCATAGTCCAAAATCGTGGCACCCAACGAGATAACAGGTCGTACAAACCCAGTTCTGCCTGTTCATCTGCTAAGCCCAGACCTTCTGCCGTTGCACTCTGCTTAGACGGCCCGGAGAGATCCGGAACAGTAATAGACAATGGGCTGGCCCCAAGTTGAACCAATCGTTGTCGTAACTTTTTAGCCACTACGTTAAATTTGGGATACGACGAATCGCCCAGACCCAGGACAGCAAACCTTAATGTGGATGGTAACGCACGACCCGGAGGCAGACCACGATGCATTATACGTTGCCAGAACTGTCGCATTGTATCCGGTGGAGCACCATAGCCCGTGGTGGAGCATACAAACAAGACAATGCCAGTCTCTTTGGCTAATTGGGACAGCGGAAGATAAGAATCCATTGACTGGAGACGAATTGTCACACTTGGTTTCCGAGTTTCATCGGGTGGATCGGAGGCGTGTGATGTGAACGATGAATCACCACCGGCCGAGGGAAACAGATGACGTGCTTGTGTGGCTAAACGTTCAGCCAATTTTTGAGCTGTACCCGTTTGACTGCCATAGAGAATGACCAGATGTGGCTGGTGGTGCTGCTCACTCATTGGAAACTGTCGCAACCTGAGAGTTATATCACAGGGAGGGGGAGGCTGAAATAGGCAGAAATGAGTTTTTTCAAACCGGACCGATTCATTTTTCAAAGTATTCTATTCGAAATAGTAGGTACACAGCATGTGTTTTCGTTACAATTACCTCATTTGCAACATCGGGTG